TAAATTTAATTCTTTTTTTTCGTATTTTATGGATTAGGATAATCATTTTCTTAAATAACCCATTTTGCGTAGATTTGAATTACGTAGTGTAATTTCATGCATTTAGAGTAATTTCACGCATGTTTACCATTTCGCTCACGGGAGTCCTATCCCGGGGCGTAATAATAAGGCCATGTAATATTCTTTGCCCGACTCGCATCGGGTTTTCCTTCTCCGCATTTACTTTCAAGTCATTTCAATTCCTTGGTTGCTTACTTACCACACCGCTTATCATTAATTTCTTTCCTAGATTAGGTTAGGACTAGTCTAGATATTGGAGAAGACAACCCTACAAAAACATTTGCATGGACACTTAATGGCTTTGATACCTTGGGTTTATAATTAGTAATCAAGATTACATGGCCACTTAGATAACAACCTTTCAAGTTAGTGGTACCGAAAGGGCACTAATATAAATGTTAACATAAACAAGTCCCAATTCCTGAAAATCTCTGATTGTGTCGGAATCGAGACAACACTCTCACTTCTTGATTTGTTTCTAGCCGATCTCAATAGGCTAGTGGCGACTCCTGGAATTACTTAGGTTGTAAAAAAACTAGAAGCAAGCCCAACGTCGCGCGGGGTATGGTCTTCGGGAAAAACCGTGCCTAGATCAACGGGCCATTGGCCCGCCTTTTGGGTAGTACCGCCTAAACCTGTTCCTTTTTCCCCTGACGGGAAAAGAGGGTTGCGACAAAGAGCAGCGAGTGTCACGGAGGAGGTGGCAGCAGCAGGCTCTACCGGAAGAAAGGGCAGTGGCTCGTTGTCACCAAGGCAAGCGGGGTTGTCGTGGCATTGCTGGTGGTCGTGGTGGTCATGGATAGAGGCAATGATGGCAAGGACGTATGAAGGGGCGACGTTGGCGAGGTTTGGCCGTGCTTAGACTCGGCCATGTCTCACTCTGTATCTCCTTCCTCACGTGTTTCACTCTATGTGTGCTCTGGAATTCTGATTGCCGGCCTCTAATTTTGAGGCATAACCAGGTTTATATAGAGTTTAACCTTGAGTTTCATCAACTCATGGGCTTAACTTTCGGCCTTACTAAATTAATGGACTGAATTATCCCAAGGCCATTATATAATTAAACTTTAATGGGCTGAATTGAAGATCAAATTGGTTCCCCCCTCCCTATATAAATTTCGGCCAAGGCCTTCTTCATGGGTTGGCGGAAATTTGTCTCTTTGTGGGCTCAAATATTAACATGGTTTGATCCATTTAGGGTATATTGTAATTAATCTCAAAGCCTATTAGCTTTATGGGCTAAACCCAACTCAATTACAGCTTAATACCCCTTAATCATGGGCTTGAAATTTCGGTTCCCCTCTCCCTTATGCTGGCTTGTTGTGGCCCCCATCCATGCGACTAATTCAGGTCTTTTCACCATCAGAAACATTGTTGACACCTCTGCTTTGATCCATTGTTAAACTCAAGGACACCTCGCTGGTTTCACTCTCCCGTCTTTGTCTATCTCTCCTTCTCTTTGAATGTCTCTCGACCTGTGTTAGAACAGGACTTAAGGTGGCATCACCGAATATAGTTCATTGTGAAGTCGTTTTGGTTGTTTAATTTTTTGTGCTTAAAGATTTCGACTTTTCGAAAATGAACTCAAGATTCTTTCAGTTGAGCTTCGTAGCATGGTTCAGCATTGTATTTTCTCTCATAAGTTCATAACTTCTCAAGAATTGTAAGAGAAGTTTCTTTTTTTGCTCGGAACAAAAACCAGCCGTGCGGCTGGTAGGTTATTCTTGGAAAGTAAATACATAATACACAATATCTCGTGAGAAAGCCAATCAGGAAAATAGTTACGTATGAAAATAAAATCTTTAATTGCCGCCATTTCCATTCGAATAATTACAAGGGGTGTGCAAATTGGACCGCAGGAACCGGGAATCGCCCAGACCGAACCAAACCAGCCGATTGGTCCAGTTCCTGGGAGTATCGGTCCGGTTTCCGGTTTGTAAAAGTGGAACCGATGTCTGGGCGGTCTAGTTCTTAGTTCCAAGGGGGAATCGGACCGGACCAGACCGACTACATATATATATTATTTCTTCAAAAAAATTTGTAAAATGTGAACTAAACGCCTCCTTCAAAATCTTCACAGAAGTGTCCCAGCACTTGCTAAAGTTTCTACCCCTTCAAAATTAAAACAGTAACGTCAACCACCTCCCAATAAATTATGTGAACACTCTAAACATCCGGATGAGACACCACCTCATGGAAACCATGGAAATGTCATGCCAGCTTATTTTCTAAAACAAAAGCATCTAGTTTTTACAAGAACTAATACACTGCCATTCAAAAAAAAAAGTGACCGGTTCCATTGGATCAGACTAAAGATTCGGTCTAGTTCTCGATCCTAGGAACAATCGGTCCAGTCCCCAATTCCCAATTTTGGGAACTCGGAACTGATCACCCCAAATAATTACAAAAAATGTCATAAACCTATTGTATGGATATTAGTCCGGAACTTTTTAATTTGACCTATTTAGTCCTAAACCTTTTGATAATTTTTCAATGTAGTCTTTCTGACTAATTTTTGTTGCTAATTGCCGACTTGGACATTGGCCATCCTATGTGGCTCGATTGAGGTTGACACAAATAATTTTTGCAATTTTTTTAAAAAAATATTCTGAATTTTTTTTATAATTTTTTTGATTTTTTCTTCTTTTTCTTTCTTTCCTTATTTTTCTGCTGAAGTTCGGCAATGGTTGCGGCCACAGGCGAGGGTTGTAGCCCTTGCTCAATGGCTGGCAAGGGCTTTGGGTGAGGGTCGTGACCCTCACTTGTGGTCGGTAACGGCTTCGTAGCCCTTGCTGACCCACGGTGAAAAAAGAAAAAAAAATCAAAAACATCATCTATTGATGGAATCGCATATATGAGTGTGGAGTGGGGCTGCTATTATGAGATTCATAGCCAAATCTCTAGAGCACTCATGGAAAATCAGAAGCACGCATGGCCTATTAGTGCAAACTTGCGTTGAATAGCAGAATTTGTGGGGATTAACGTAATGATTGAGAACTCTAGCTGACAATAAAAATCCTTGGATCATAGAAGCTATAAGCTTCACCATTGGTTCTATAAGTTATGTCTCATTTTTCTACGTATGGTTCAAATTCCAAAAGACACTAGATTCAATGCATCACCCTCTAATGTGAAACCAGCCTTTATTCCTTCTTTATTTTGATAATCCGTTTTTAAATATGCTGAAGATTATTGTAGAAAAGTATTTCAAAAAACTGGATTCCCTTGTCTTTCACTGCCACACATTGCTTGATAAATTCTCTTTTGTTCACTTTATTAATAGGTTCAGTTTACTGACTTGTTAACAAGAAGAAAAATATGTTCAGTTTGCGCATATGAGCTTGTGTCAAACGAAATGTGAAACCTTTGATTTTTTATTTTTGTCTCAGGACCTTATCAGGAAAACCTATTCACAAATAAACCTTTGATTTTTGTGTTCTGCCATTAGTCAAACTAGCTGTTGTCATATTCAATTTGCTACCGTTAATTTTTTCATTCTGCTAGCCGTTTTCACACTAGTTCTCCTAACCATTATGACATTGAATGCGCTAACCGTTTCTCATATAATTTTGCTAGCCGTTTATAAATTAATTCTCCTTGCCGTTCCTTGATATTTCCAACTTCCGATCAGCTTATTTCTCCTATAAATATTTACCCGTTCTTCTTCATTCTACATTCTACGCATTAGAAATAAACAAAACCCTCCCTCCTCCTCCATTTATGTTGTTCCTGCTATAACCAAATAGTGTAGTGCATACTAATCACAAGGTCCGTCGAATCTTGGAGGATAGTTGCATCTATCCTCTGCACTCACTGAAGGGCGGTAATTATCCTTGAAGACAACATCTATCCTCTGCACTCACTGAAGGGCGGTAATTATCCTTGAAGACAATGCGGACACCTTAAACTTTCATGATTTTTCTATCTACATTCAATGATTTTCGGAATTTCCACAATATCTAAATTGGGGCTACCTCTGGTTTTATGAAGGCCACCTTTAAATGTAGTTATTTGTTTACATTTTATACTCTAAAAGGACGGGTGTGAAGACCCTGCTATTTATAGGCCCACGAAACACTCCATGAGCTCATAAATCGGTTAAGTGTAGACCTATATAGGTGGCCCTGAACAAGAACAATTTGCATATAGTTAATGGAAGTTGAACGGACGGCTCCAACTCCTGGAATTCCTCCTACGTCCCAGCCAGCTGTGTTAACCCTGAGGGTTGGCCGGCATTAAATTTATGTGAGATCAATCAATCGCTGCCATTGATTCATCATGCTTTTTTAATCGGAATAACAATTTTATTCTTGGTATTTCTCTGTGGGGTGATCATCACATGGTTATAACACTGTCCACACAATTTCACACCATTAAAGGTATCCTCATGCAAAGAGACGAACATAGTCTCCGAGTCTTCACGATTGCCAGTGTGTAATTATTAGTTTACGCAAGTTGTATCCCGTTTAGGTAGGAAAATGAAACTTCTCCCGATCCAAATACACCCACATGGTCTAATATCACATAAATAGTATCGTCAATTTGATAGGGAATGAAGAAAGATTGAAATTATTGGTAATGGAAATTAAATTTGATTTTCTATCACAAGGGCATGTACATAGGACGCTTCTTTCTGGTTTTTTCTATCTCACACTCAACCGGATTAGGCTAGCCTATTAATTGCCTTCAATTGACGGATGTTGTACAAGAAAATCTCTGCAAGAGCTCACGGTAGGCTCTTTTTTTTTTTTTTTATCATAACCTTTTACTACCTTTCATAGACTAGATTTTTGTAAGATTCGTCTAGGAGTTCCCTTATAAATGGATCTTTGTTTGACGAGTTTCTAAATAACCAATCTTCACCGACCAGGTTTGACTAAACCAGGAAAGGAAATTCCAATTTGTTGTGGAGTACTGGAGTGATTGGAAGAGAATCAAGTATGAAGGTTGAAGTGCAAAGCAAGAAATTGATCAAGCCATCATCTCTGACGCCGAACCACCGTCGAAAGCTAAACATTTCATGCATAGATGAGCTTCAGCATCCAGGTTATGCTGGTTTCCTTTTCTACTACCGGGCCGATGGCGAAAACCATGAAGACGATACTTTCCAAAGGCTTTGCCTTTTGGAGGAGTCGCTTTCAGAAACCCTGGTGATTTTTTACCCTCTAGCCGGTCGGTATGTCGAGGAAGGGCTCTTTATCGATTGTAACGACCAAGGAGTAGAATTTGTGTACGCCAGAGTGAATGGCCAGCTTGATCATCTCCTCCAGGGAGACTTCGACGCGGACCTGGTCGGCAGTTTGTCCGAGTTCCCGCTGGGACTAGCCAGCAATCCCCTAGTCATAATTCAAGTGAACGTATTCGAGTGCGGAGGACTTGTGATCAGCCTACGCTCTTGTCACAAGTTAGGCGATATGTGCACCATGGCGACATTCATGAATTCATGGGCTACCGTGTGCCGGAGTGGAATAAATGAACTAGCCTCGCCGTATTTCGAGCTGTCATCTCTATTCCCAGTGAAGGGGTCGGTAGTCACTCGTTGGCCTCCACTCTGTGGTGGAGTAAAATTTACGATGAATAGGTTCGTATTCAGCGGTGCGGCCCTATCGAGACTAAAACTAGCTGCGGCTAAAAATGCGCGGATATCGAGAGTGGAGGTCGTGTGCGCACTTTTATGTAAGGTGTTCGTAACCTTGGATCAAGCAAAACACGGCCGCTTAAGGCCCTTTGTGGTTTGCCAGTCGATGAACTTGCGTGGGAGAGTCAATCTACCGATACCAACAAATGCGTTTGGTAACTTCTACACCATGGTCGTTGGCCGACACACAATGGATCAGAATGACCTGAATTTCGAGGCGTTTGTGGAGGTGATCCATGACACCTTTGCGAGTGCCAAGACAAGGTACGCGGCGATAGCGGACGGAGAATCATGCATGAACATGGTTAAGGATTCTACAAGAGAATCCAAGGAATGGGCTCACAGTGATGAAGAGAATGTGGTGGCCATTTCAAGCTGGTGTGGATTTCCATTCTATGACATCAATTTTGGGTGGGGAAAGCCGGACTTGGTGAGCAACACCTGCATTCCTGTCCGAATGGTTTTTCTCATTGATAGTAAGTCTGACGGTGGAATCGATGCGTGGATCATACTAAGCCCAGAGGAGAAGGTTCTTTTTGAGCAAGACCCCGACATTGTGGCTTTCACTTCCTAAAAACTCTATTGGAGGCGGAGCGGTCGTGGGCACTCTCTTCTAACCAAATCTTCAATCTGAGAGTTGCATTTGCTAGACAGGCAGTGGCTTCTGTAATTTGGACCCGATAGATTTAGCGAAATCTCCCAATCTTATAAGTGTTGGGTATAATTGAAAGATTCTCGTATCATCTGAAAAGCTATTTTTCTGGACTCTAAAAAAAAAAAGAACCGAAAGCTAACACGAAATAGAGATGACCGAGGGGAAGGAAAATGCAACTAGAACTTGAAAAGGATTAAACTGAATTGGGTGGAATGAGATTGACTCCGACCTACTTTCCACTGTACTCAGTGGGCACAACGCATTGCAAGCACTGGATTGGCCTGAACACTTCATTTTCATGACGGGAACGAGAAAGAGCTATCCTCGCCGATATTGGCATGAATCTGAAGATATTGGACTTCTGTTCACCAAGATGTTTTTGACGTAATGAGAGGGAAGGGAACTAAGCAGAAAGAGACTAAGAGAGTTGTCCGAACACAATGAGTTCTCTTGTAAAACATCTGAATTATGCTTGATTTGCTTCAAGAACTAATCATTCTGTTTGATCGCTCAACATAGTGGGAATACACCCACTCAGCATCCCATCAAGATTGGACAAAATCAGGCTTCATCGGTGCAGTGTCTAGTCGAAACTGTGACAACTAAAAAAACCGTGGTTTTAGAATCATCCTAAACATAGGCCCAAAATACCTCTGTGGTTGTGATGCTAGATGTAACAGCCAATTTGATGTAATTTCGGGATCAATGAAACTGATATTATTTCGCATTTCATTTTAGTAAGTCTCACCCGGAGCTGATCACTCTCGGGATACTAACCAATAGGGTATGGCTAACTAGTAGATGGTACGTGGACCGGGGACCCTATCGCGAAAGGGATACCGATCACGAGAGACGCCGAGGAAATATTTTGGGCCAACGTGAGCCGATCTTAGGAAAGGTAACGGATTTGGTTTGGCCAAGGCCAACGATGTACGATTGGGACGCAGTGATTACGCAAGACCAAAAGTGCACGTGGTCAACCTCCGGAACTTGAACCTATTGATTGTGACCTCTGGAACTAATGATAATTTCTCATTCTCTCAATGATCGAGACCGTCACGATACGAATAGCCTTAGGTCGATACGCGTAACCTCTAAACGCCACCCGTTAGTGAGAGACTCGAAATTGAAAGTTTAGCGGGTTTTGTTCACGGAATTGGGCCGGATTTCGGTATCGATTTTCAAAGGCTTAAGAGACTATTTTTGGGAATCGACGTCATATTACGCTGGCCACTCACATGTGGAGTTAGTACGAGTAAAAATTGGAATTTCGATGCAGGGTGAAAAATTACGATTTTGCCCCAGGATGCCGTCGCTTTCGAGGCCAAATGAGGTTATTTTTCGTGGCCGATGCCATTTTTGGGTGGCCACGCTTACCAGAGTCATTTTGGACAAAAGCTGGAATTTCGACAAAAATTGGAAAAATAATATTATTTTATTCCCGAAACTTTGACGTGGATTTTCGAGGGCTTGCGCGATGAATTTCGCGATTCCGACGCCATATTATTTTGACCACGCATATATGGAACAGCGTATGTGCGAAAATTGGAATTTCGGTTCGGGATTGGAAAATTACGAAAATGCCCCTAGGCCATTTTGATTAATTCCGAAAATTGGATTTAATTTTGGGATTAACCAAGGTGAGTTAAGGTTAAACCAGGTCTGGTCAACCATGGTTAGGGGCAAACGACCATTTCACCCCTAAATTATTGGATTAGGGCAAATCCTAGCCTTTGGATCAAGGGCAAAATTGTCCATTGGCTTGATTTTTGACACATGGCACCCTAGGCCCTAGTTTTTGACTAAGATAAGCATTTTTCTCTCTCCTCTCTCACTCCCACGACCAGACCAGCCTTCAGAAAATTTTCTCTCCATTTTCCCCTCACTTTCTCTCATTTTCTCTCAAATTTTCACTCTCATTTTCTCTCTCGCCGGAGCTTCGCGGGAGCACGCCGCCGACCGCCGTGCCTCGCCGTCGACCCCTTGGTCCCCGCTTCGGCTCGGCCTCGGTTCCGTCCATTTCTCTCTCCCTTTCCCCCTCTTTTTCTCTCTTTTTCTCTCTTTTTCTCATTTTTCATTTTGTGAACAGATCACGCGGAGCTTCGCCAGAGCTCCGTCGCCGTCCGTCGACACCATTGTTCGGCATGTCCACATCGTCGCCGTTCAGCCCGGTCCGTACAGTGACCGTACAATTCTGTTCACGTCGTACGGTCAGGCTGTTCATCCGGCCCAGTACGGCCGTCGCCGCCGTGGCCGGCGCCTCGCCGGCCACCGTTCCAGCCGTCCGTACGGTGTGTCCGTGCGGTGGTACGTCCACGCGTCGTGCGGAATCACTGTTCACCGTCCGTACCGCGCCGCCGTCCGTCGGGAATTCCGCCGCCGGTTTCACTTTGTTCATCGGTGATCGGCCGCCATTCCCGTCGTCGTGACCCTTGTTTTGGTGAGTAAAATTCCTAAACTCGGATTAGGACTGATTTTGCGTTTTAGGACTGGTTTAGGTGTTATCGGTGCATTTTGGAGTGGCTTAGATAATAGCAGTGTGTAATTGAGACTGGGTTGAGGACCGATTAGTAGAATTTATTATCGGAAAAATTTAGTGGATTAATGAAAATCGTTGGGGAGGATAATAGGGTTTAATGACCAATTTAGGAGTTCATCGGTGAAATTGCCGGGTATGCCCGGTTGTGCGAATTATATTGGTGCTCGTGGTTCATTGCATTGCATAACATGGACACGCATTGCGTATGCCAAGAGTGAGGCATGTGATGAAAATTGTGCGAGAATGCGTGTACGCCATGAGCATGTGATCACCTAAAATACCCCACGAGCGTTATACTGGCGGGTTCGAATAATAATGAGCTGTGTGATCACCTAAGGACCTTCGGGTCGATACCGTCCTCATGCACTTTGAAGCGGGACGATGCCCGGTACGTCCGGAAGGCGACCATCCTCATGCACTTTGAAGCAGGCTCGGTTCGCAAGGAGAACAGTGTTGCGCCTCATGCACTTTGAAGCGGGCTAGAACCTTGGGCCGGATCGGATCTCGCCTCATGCACTTTGAAGCGGGCTAGACCAGCACCGGGCCGTGAAAAAATTGATGACTCGAGTCGTAATAATAATTAATTGGGCAAGTGTGCCGGTGTGGGCCGTGGGTCAAAGAAATGTGCATGACATGTCAATGACATTTGCATGCATAAACATGCATTGAATGGCATGCGAGTGTGTGAGACTCGGTGTATGAGCATGTGATTGGCGTACGTGTGATAATGTGTGCCACGTATGTCCTGTGATTATTACATATTGAACTATCTAACCTGCAGGTCGAGAGAATTGTATGATTATGGTTGTGTTATGATTTTAAATGTTTGTTTCCAATCGGGAGATTGCATGCTAGCCTAGCCTAGGTTTAGGGGTTGAACTCATGAGATTCGTCTCACGGTTGTGTAAACCGAAACTTTTCGAGACCCCAGCAGCAGTAGGATGCCGAGGTCACCACCTCTTTTGGGATACCGCACAATATTCAGCGGTCGTCAAGCATGCACCCGGTAGGGATGGAGCGAGAACGGAGAAGTGGCTGTTTGGGTTATTCCCAGCTGTTGGTGTTTCCTTTTTGGTTGTCGTGAACACTGTAAAAAGAGTTTTAAAATAGTAATATAAGTATGTACATATTTTTTGCGTTGATCGTTGTTTATTGGATGGCTATCCTTGGCTCGTTTTTTTTTTAATTGTCAGGGTTGTTTATTTAATCGCTTCCGTTTGTGCTTGTTCTCTGTTTGGGCGTTGGGTCGGCGACGCTTCCTGGGACGTCGCAATTTATCGACCGAAGGTAGGGATGTTACCGCTTCGTAGGGTACGGGGCGTGACACTAGAGGTCAACGTATTGTCTCAGCCTAAACAGATCAGTATTTTCGTTGAGGAGACTATATTCGAAGCAAGTTCTTCGAGTTGCGGGAGTACCCAATATTTTCAGCCCAATGAAGTGGCCATTTCTGTTGAAAACCTTGACAGGCAAATTTTCTTGCTCATACTGACCAACCATCATGATTTGGCACTACAAACTCACAGTGTTTAATCAGACATTATTTAGTGCTCACTTCCATTTATTCTGTCAAGAAGATACATCACAGAAAGGTTCAGCTTACATACATCAGTGCTGTATGGTTCTTGCACCTGTCATCACATAATATTAAACGTTCCATAAGGTTGCTCTCCAAAGAGTCCAAACGGTCTAGAAGCAGAACACGATCACACATCCCTTTTTAACATAATGCAGCATTACAGTGGCTGCACAAAATCATATCTTTACCTGATTCAGGTACGATATCCCATCAATTACTTTGCTCTGTTTAAATTCCATGTAGTCCTTGTAATTCATCAAGATGTACGTGGCTTGGTTGGGCTCGCCATCCACCAGCTGCTTTGCTGGCACAACCACAGTGTCAGGCGACGGTCCAGTAGAAAAAGGGATCGATAACCTTGCAGCCTCGTTGTTCACGACAGCTCGATGCAGAACGCTCTTGTATTTCCCATTGCTCATAATCTTGCACAGTTGCAAAGTGTTGAGAAAAAAAAAATTAGTTGCAATAAGCTTGATCTGTTCAATGGGAGAAACAAGAGTAAATCACAAAGATTCGCGTCAACTTTAACTGATTAATATCCAGTTAAATAATATTTTCAAAAAAATATCCAGTTAAAGAAACAAAGACAATAGAGAAAGTTTTTAGCAAATTTTTAAGACAACTGTATGTACTATAGTTCTATGTATAATAACAATGTCCCTTCCATAAAACCTACATTTTATCAGCATCTATAAACCAAGGCACACAGTATTCACACCAAGATTTGAAATTCATTGGACCTCTCTTGCAAGACAGATAAGGGAGATTAGAAAGATGAAACATAGATTTCTGTATATTTAC